TGAGATTTCTTTCCACTAATAGTATGTGGGTCCCCTTTGAATAAGCAATAAGCAGTATTAAAATAAGTAGCCCATATTGGATTCAGTCTCAATATACATTTATCACCTCGTTGTTCACTTATTCAAATACGTAAATGACGAGTCTGTTTTACTCATGAGTTTAAGTTAATTTTAACTTGATTGTAAACTACATTTTACGAGTATTGAACTTTTTAATGTATTTATTAATGTTATTTTAAAGGATTATCAGAAAAAAAAAAAGGATCATCAGTGAAAGTTAGTGGCATGGATTGAAAAGAAATTGTAGATAAAGGGGCAAAAGAGACAAAGCAAAAGTGTTGGACAAAAACAAAGAAGAAAACAGTGTGTGGGTACCATGGTGCCACATTCAAAGCACTGCAGCGCCCAACACTGGTTGACCCTGGCATTACGGTGTCGGGAGCTTCAGAGAGGCGCCACCACCAAACTTGACGCGACGCGGCCTAGTCGTAATTTGAGCAAAATTCTCGGGCCCTTTTTGAGTTCAGACGAAAACCCTAATTTTTTAAATGCGGCAAGGCACTTATAAATACAATATTTCCCACACATTGAGAGGCAAGAAACACTTTTGAATAATCCAAAGAGGAATTCAAAGAAGGAAAAACATCAAGCAATTGAATATTTGACGCATTGATTGAAAGAGGAATGAGATCTTGGTGTAAGAATTCTAATTTTTCTTCTACATCTTTAATACATATTCGGTAATGTATTATAATACAATTTATTATTTTTCTTCTTTGGTTATGAATAGTTAAATCCATTGTTATGGCGAATAATATAACAAATTGGGATCTTTTATATTTTTTTATTAAGATTCTTGATTTTTATTATACCATGTGTTGATTTTACTATGTATTGAATGCATTAAATTATCTGATCACTAATTTGGTGATTTCGTGAACTATTTACGAATAGAAATATAAGTTTACGATTTAGATCATCTAGTAAAATTTGGTACATTGGTATAAAAAATTAGAGATACATATACTAATTATTGCGGTCATAATTTAATTCCTAGGACAAAGAACTCGTTTAACTAAATCAGATTAATATAGAGATATGTAATTTAATTAGTTATAGACTTAATCAGAACTTGAGAGGGGTAAATTGAAAACAATAGAAAAATTCGACCGAATTCTATATTATGTGAATCTTAATTTAAGATGTAATGGTGACTAATAGGTGAAGTCGTTCTATCCTAACATCCGTCATTATTTTATTTCTAAACAATCGTGTGTGCATTTACTTATTTTCTCGCATTTAGATTAAAACTCAAATCCTACAAGTTTTTATTCCATCAAATAGTGGTTAAAAAAAAAAATTAAATTAAGTTGCTAGAGTATAGTTCTTGTGGGATCGACAATTTGGACTATTAGGTCCATTTACTACTTGTTATGATTTGTACACTTGCGGAAATAAAATTAACAACAGTAAATCTAACTTATGAGACCAAAATTGTCAGTGTAAATGCTAAAATCGCTTGTGAGTTGTGACTTAAAATTTTAGTGCAAAATCGTCAAACCAATTAGAGTTTAAAACTATGCTGTTCTTGTTCTAAGTCACATGAAGGTCGAATACAATTTTAACTTGGTAATTTCCGGCATGTGCGAACCCAGATTAACCAATTAAATTAGATTTGAGATTTAGACCCATTTTTACAAAAATTCTTTTTATCAAAACTCATTTTCAACCACATATGCTTCGATAAAATAATTCTATACGCAAATCGAAATTTTTTTCTCACTTTCTAACCATACATTCTTCAAAAACTCACTTCAAAAATACATTCTCTCTTCAAAATGGGGCTCAAACAAGGGAAATATCCTATAACCAAACCACGTGAAAACGACGCCGAACCTAATTCTTCTTGTTTTGAACCTTATTAGTATAATCTAAAATAAATGCCACCAGTGGAAACAATCAATCACACTGACAAAATGGATGATGGGATTCCATGACGGGTCCCAACCGGGGGAAAAAAGTAGAGGCTGAAAATTTTTGATTTCTTTAAAGGGAAAAGAATCCACTTCTTTCGCATAGAACTTTAGCTACTAGATATGCTCTAACAAATCTAATCACAGATAGGGTGTGTTTGATTATCGATATATTTCATAAAAATTATATTTTTTTACCCAAATTTTTATTTTTGTATTATTTGATTGTCATTTTGTTCATAAAAAATATTTTCTTACATTTGGTCGTGTAACAATTTTTCTCAAAATCAAGAAAAATATTTTCTTTAAGGGGAGTAGGATATTATTTTCCAGAAAATTTACTCTCTTTTTCTCTCTCTGATCTATCCATTCCCTATCATCTATTCACCGATAAAAAATGGATAAGTATAATATTTTCTATGATGAAAATTAAATCAATCAAACACATTTAACTGGCAATTTCCATGCAAATAAATTTTAGGCAATTGAATTACCTAAAATTTATTTTCTTTCCATGCAAATTTTATGTTTACAATCAAATGCAACCTTAATAAAATATTATTTTTTTAGCCAACATTAGCACTCAAGTTGGATGGCCCTTAAGGTAATCAACTTTTAATTTAGGAACGCCAAAGAAAGATAAACAAACAAGCATGATAAGATGAGTGTGTCGTGATATTAACACAAAAATAAAAAATAAAAATGCAAGCCAAAGAAGGTGCAGCCAATTAAAGATAATTATGAAAAGAGAGATTTGGGTTATTAAGTCATGTTATACGCCGACCTAAAAGATGTTGCAATTCGTAAAGTAACACGATCTCAAATCGAGTTAAAGTCATGTTTTGCAGAGGAGCTATCATCCATAAGAACTTGGGCCCGTTTGACAGATATTTTGCTTTTCATGAAAGCGCTTTTTAAATAAATAACATTAGACTAACTTTTTTTAGAAGTTATTTTAATCAGTCAAAACACTTTTAGAATATTACCAAAATAGATCTAAAACCAATTTTTTAGTATCTTCTTAAAAGTCCGACCAAACAGACCAATTATCTCAATAGAACAAGTTAAGAAAATGGTAGACTAAAATTGATTCTAACGATAATAGCTCACCGAGTCACGAAATAGTTACTTTGAATTTTATTAGCTCTTGTAACTAGAGGATAGCTAACTTAACTCTATGAAACAATGTATTTCGTCGAAAAGACACGAAAGATACGTGCTAGTGTTGGCAAATGCGCTCAAAGTACTTCCGTCGTTGTTATTCTTTCTGGGCAGAGAGTTTTTTTTTGAAATATTTCCAGTCATTTTGGTAGAGGGCGACGAAACTAATATGGCCAACATGCATCTCAATCGAAGTTAAGAAGCATCTTTGCTTCTTGAAGTGCAGTCTATTTGAGCAAACGTGACCAACTACAAAGACTAAACATAATTCCTCTACATTTCAAATGGTAATTTGGAAGAAACTTGTACGGTTTTGGAATGGGTTTTGATCGATCATCTTTTACCCATAAAGCTCTAAGCAAGTAAACAAATTTATACACTTGATACCACATACTGGAATAGCTACAATTTTCCCAGGAAATCGGTCCATACGATGTCATGATCAAGCATTATTGAAGATGCAAGTACTACACTCATGGCACTTAACCCAGGCAAGCCTCCCATAGAGGCAAGTGATGTTGGTGAGCCATATGATGGGCAACCATCTAAACACAAACCAGAAACCAAAGTCAAAATTTCAATAAGAGGGTTGACCCTTCGTAAACGTCACAACTAATGACCTATAGCTTAATCTAGGGCTTTTACTCCCTTTCGGTCGAGGTAGACCTTCAAAACCCTCTGACTAATAGGGTGGTGGTGGAAGGGATAAAGGAGAATTTGGTGTCTTTCTGGTCAATAATGGAAGCAATCGTCCTACGCTTGCAAAATAGGAGCACCAGGTTGGAGGATCAGCTAGTAGTGAGAAAGGGGATTGCTTGTTCCTTGAAAAGTTCAGCCAGGAAGGAAGACTCTGGCTAAGGCATTGGAGTTCACTCGACAAGGAATTTCACTTACCGAAAGCAGTTTATTATTCGACGTGACTAGAGACTAAAGTGTAGACGTATTCATAATAAGTTTCTACACGGAAAAGCATGGTGGAACAAGTTCCTATAAGAATAGTTATAATGTAATTGTAGAAGAGGTGGCCAAATATACCTTTTTCAAATGATACAATAAGTTGACCAAACAACAGAATGCTTGTACATAAAGGGTACCAATGGATCCATCTTTGAGGCGATTATTACAAAAAATAACCGTTGGCAAAGGAAATCTCTTGGGTATGGGAGAATAAGTTCTCCTATGGACAGGTGTAATAGAACAAGCCCTAAGGACAACTAGATACACTTTCTCCATATGATACGAACAGCCAGCCAATCAGTAAAGGACATTTGTCCTCTCATTAACTCCACATTCAAGGCAAATGTTCCTATCCGTTATCCCGACAAAAAGGAAGTCTCTTCCCCGTCAATTTTATCTATAAGTACCTCGAAGCTCATTCACTGCACAGATCGCCCACCAAATACTCTTAATATACACTAAGATGTCCATTATCAAGCATGATTGAAGATACAAGATCTACAATTATGGCACTTAACCCAGCCAAAAGACAACAATACTAACTTTGAGCAATGAAAGCCCAGTTATGTCCCAGATATATACACATGCCAATAAGTAATGAATGATCATGTGTAAGCGCATACATAAAGAAATTAATGAGATGAACGAAGAAAAATAGGATGTCAATTATCCAATACAATCAATAATCTCAGTATCATCACACAAAATATTCACAGGTTGTTTGCTCAGACTGTAAAAGTAACCTTGGTCCATTTCTTTGGGCTAGTAAACAGAAGAAAAGCAAGTCATCCCTTGACGCGACATTAAATGTATTGCTGACTATGTGAAGCATCCATGAAACTTAACATTTACCAGAAAACTTCAGAAGACAGAGCATAAGATCTTTGCTGGCAATGGTATCTCAGCATTCTCATTTTTTATCCACCGCCATATGGTAGAGGTTCCCTATCACATCAAAGGGCAGTTGATGAAAGAAATGAACGGATTCGCTGCAGCAGCTCTGCTTTTACCTTATCAGGAACAGAAGCTGCATAAACAAAGAGATGCTTATTTAATTCTGATGTATAAAGCAAAGCTTTACAAAAATTAGCAGCAAGGACAGCGCAAACAAATATTTTGAGTTAGGGGGTCAAAATCAAGACGGGTAACATAGACTTAACTTTTGGAGAAGTTGTACTGCCTTCATTACCACCCACACCTCGATGCATTTGAAGAAACTGAGAAAATGTATAAAATCGCACCCCTGAGCTTTTTTTTTTGTGGTGGGGGGGGGGGGGGGGGGGGGCATAATGTTGGTTTTATATCTGTATAAAATCAGAGAAATTAAATCTGTTTTTTGAATTTGGGGGCTTTGGGTTTATATATGTAATCAATAAGAAAAAAAGTGGGGCTCTGGTTTTATATAAAATTAGAGAAATTTATCTCTGTTCTATTCTTGTTTTTCTATTAAAAAAAAAATGCCAAGAAGATGAAAAGTATTCTAAGATTTAATAAGCATGTAGGCTGGGACAAGCTACTAGGATCAAAACAGATTACTTCTGAAAATTTTTCAAATCTGAGTGCATAGCAAGTAGAACTGAAGAAATATCTTCTCAGCCACAAACTGGAGCTGCCTTATAACTTATGCAAAGAAAAATATACAGACGAATACATAAATGAAAGCTGCCTCCCAAATTCAATTCGCTGTTTTAATAGAATTTTGCAACACATCCCAACAAACTGATCAAGTATTAATGCCTCATGAACATTCCAGTTCAAGGTAGGAGCCTAAACAACTGAACCAAGTTTCCATAAAGCACTTTATTTACTAAAGATAAAGCATCATGTAAAAGATAAAAATAAATGATACTGAATTTAAACATCAAAATCAAGCAGAATGTAACAACAAATAGATTGAAAAATGAAACAAGAAGGAAGATAGATAAGAGGAAAAAAGCAACCCTTATTAAAGAAGAACATACAAACAAAAATAAAGCAGCAAAAACAGAGACCCAAACTTGTTATATGATTCTCTGAAGAAAATTAATCTAAATCCAAACACATTAAGAGAAAAAAGCCACTCTTAATTAAGTTATAAGTTAATATAACACATTTCCAATCCAAATTACCCAGTTTCCATTTTCTATAACAAAAGGCAAAAACCCACAAAAAAATGGTAATTAAACATACATGTAATATCAGATCTGCTACTTTAGACTCGTAAACATTAGGTTCAGGAGCCCCATTATTATCAGGATTCATCATGTAAAATGCCTCTGGATCTCTAGACCCTAAAATTCTTTCAAATTTAGCTCTCATATACATGATTTCACCATCATGTAATGGTAGCAGGCAGCAGCCAAATGTCTGACATGTCACGAAGTGATGGGTTAAGAATCTAATTTATGTACTAGGGTGATTAGAAACAATGCGAGTAAAATGTAGCATGAGATTGTGTGTGATACAAAGAAAAATATTCTACATTTTAGCTAGAAAAAGAACTATAATTACGTGAGACAACTCTTTCAGATTCTTCATCCAAGTTTTATTTACATGCACGCATCCTTAGTAGGTTGCAACTCAATATGTAGAATGAAGCATTTCTTTTTAAAGCCTTTGTGGCCAACACAAAAGCAGCATTTCTTTTGACAGTCACCACTTCTCAACTCTCTCATAGTGAGTATGATTTCCGGTATATATTAAGAAAAATATTTCTCTGATTAAAGAGAAACAAAATCAATTAATAAAATTAACAAAAACATTTTAGAAAAAAGCTATGTCCATTCACTATCTAAACTGGTAATGACAAGATGCAAAACATGCAAGTTCAATCAATTAAGCACCATATGTTATGGTTATAAAAGCATTCATCTTCTCCAAGCGTTGCCACGAGAATAAATCTTTTAATCTGTATAACATAGTGGGAGAGTTGATTATCGGCAAGCGCATAAGGTGATTGCTCTCAGACCCTAAAAACACAGCCCTATGTAAACAACCATTTAACACTCCCTTGGCAAAAATTGTCAATGTAAAAATGTACCAATCAAATTTTGTATTTACTTATTTTAAGAGCATATCAATTATTACAGATTATAAAAAATATGAAATACTATTTATAATAAACCTGTTCCAACATTGAGATCTGTCAAAAAGAAGAGATGTTGCAACAACACAAGTACCGTTGTAAATATGAATTCTAAATAAAGTTGAGAAATTTAAACAATAGATCAATAAGTGTGTGATGAATTCATAACTAAGTGAACGAAACTACCTCTTCCCTTTGGGGTAATGACATGAACAAGGTCATCCACACTTACACTTTTTCTTCCCTTATTCCTTGCATGTGCCCTTGTAAAAAAATTGCAGACAGGTTTTCCAAGTAATCAAGGCATTATGAGCTTGGATAGAGTCAAGCAAATCTTGTGAGGACTATACCCCATAAAATGGGGAGCAAGACACATTGTGCATGCTGACCAAATAAGATTCATCATAACCCGTTACTCCATCCAAACAGTACCTTCTCTTTGATTTGTCAAAAACTCCAATTTATTATTATTATTTTTTATCTTAATACTAATCAAAAGCATACATAATTCAAATTAAAAGAATGATATATTATGTATCTGAGCATTCGAACTCTCCACTAAATTTTTCTTAAGTCCATAAATTGGTATTCACTATATATTGGCATAACTGATTTTGAATCAATTATTCACAAATTCATCAAGCTTTCATCAAAATTCCCAACATGGATGAGTTATAAGGATCAATTCAAAAAAAAAAAGTTCTGTACAAAGTTTTAATTAATCTCAATAATTTGAAGAACTCAAACCTAAACATTCCTTCCAATAAAGCAGTTCTTCAAATTAAACCAACTATATTATCAAACGCAAACTGCAGAAAAAATTAATCAAAAACCTGCAAAGAGCTTTCATTTCATCTCTCCAACCGCATTCGATAAGTCTTTCCCTCAAAAGCTCCTTCAACCGTTCTTTTTCTCCACTCTCTATCAGCTGCATAAGCAACCATATCAATTAATCAAGTCATATTACTAATGCTCCAAGAACTGATACTTCTCTAAATTAAAAGGCAATAATAGTTAAATGCACACGCAATAAAAATAAAAATAATAGTAATGATGATGATGATCACTTTAATATTGATAATTAACATGCTTATCAATTAAAAGTAATAACTTAAATGATAGTAATACTTCTCTAAATTAAAAGCAATATATAATTGTAAAAAAAAAACTAAACCCCCCCCCCCCCCCCAGGCGGACGTTAAATTGAAGCCCTCCTTTTTCGAAGCCCAAAAAAAGAGAAAATTTATTAGATAAAACATAAATTAACTTTGAATTATTATTCTGAAGTAATATATAGGATAACTGCTTGTCATGACAAGAAACTCATATTACTTTTATAATTTCAGAGCAGCAAAATGTTGTTATTTATTAGTTACTTTCTTCTTTTTCAATTTATTAATGGCTTTTTGTTTAGTTATTTAATCACAATCTTTAATATTTATTTTTCTCTATTTTTTAAAATTATATTCTCCAAATAAAATATTTTGCACGTGAGTATAAAATTTTACTCTACTTTCCCCAAATTTTCTTAAAAAATAATAAAAATATAAACTAAAATAAAATAAAAAATACTTTTTACAAAATCCATTTTGAAAAGTTGAGACTCTAACTAGGCATTATATATAGTATTTATTAAATGTCAAAATGAATTTCACCTAAAAAATCCACCAATAAGAGCTTGGCCTTCATAAAATTTTCAACTCAAAAATACATAAATTCATTACTTGTTTATAGATGGTGCACAAAATAGTCATATCGTGACCTTAATTGTTGTTAAAAGTTGGCATTCCTCGTAACTTAGTGAGAGTCATATAGAATAAATGAGAGGTAGTAATAGTTCACGAGCAATCTGAAAGGTCGACTCTTTCATTCTTGGATTCTTAATCACCGCAACTATCATTCAGAGGGAGGCAAAATGCTACGAGATGAATATTTTATCTAGGATGAATGCCTCCTAATAGTAATAAAGGTATGTGAACATAAGCTCAAGCAAAGATTTTACTTGAGAACGTAATGGTAGAAGTCCAACTAAAAACCAACTAACCGAAAGCCAATCATAGTAACCCGAGAGTCCCATGAAGGACTCTCACTCTATCAAAGATATGGTGGCTCGTGTTTATCAACGTTGAGAATCATTTTATCTTACAACATATTTGACATTGTTAATCATTTTAAGAATGTCAAGGTTAAGTCTCCTCATAATGCATACAATGTTGTAATTGTGAAATCAAAAAATTCCACATCAGTACATTAGTGCGAGGTGAAGATATTCTTCAATACATACTAAATTCAACTACTCCTACTCCATAAGTAAAACTTTTGGATGAAATACTAATTCCCAATGAAGCCATTCTATCCACTTCGATAATAGCAAGTTGGGAATACAAATCATTAAGGATAAATCAATAGTTAATTTTCATATATTACATAACAATGTTAATGTCAGTGCACAAAGGAGAAAAAACAATGACAAAGCTAAACAAAAAGGGGATCAGCTAAAACATTTTTAACTCAAAAACTTATGGCATATGTGAAGTGGATGACACTTATACGAGTTAAAAAAAAAAGAAGAAGAAATTAAATTAATCCTTTTTCCTCTGTGCTTAGTGCTGACCAATATTGTATACCAAACGATATTTTAGATCAGTTAACATCAAAAAAGAAGGCTATGGGAAGGCATTTCCTCGATTCGCAATACATCTTCCATCATCAGTTTTTTCTCCAGCTGAGATCTAGCCAATTTCAAAATCTCCCGAGAAACATATATTTGGGAGAAAAGAATCATATAAGTGAAATATCACATCAACATATATTGTGCGTTACAACTACGTTGAATAGAAAAAATTAGTAAAACTGGTAAAAGATTCGAGTCTTCAATGTAGAGTCTCAACGAGCAGGTTTAGCTTAAATTCGTGAAGATTAGGAGGGAAAAGAGGTTGCATACATTGAAATCCATGTAACTAGCATTTTTCTCCAGCCACAATTTGTCCATTATCGCGAAAGCCACACAATAGAGCAGGTCAAAGGCCCACTCATTATCTGCAAACGCATCAGCATCGAAATAAAATTCGATGTACATAACATGAAAATGACATTGATCTTACCCGACAACATCTTTAGAAAAACAGCTCTAACAAATTTTCTGGGTTTCACTGCATGTAGTTGATCTCACATTAGCCAGTCGCCTAGAGATTCATGTACTGCGTCAAATTTTACAAATTTGCAATTTATTTTTCCCCTTACTGGCATCTAGATCAAGCATTTGTACAATCATGAATGTGATATTTACACCAGCGACAGCAAATGGATATTCCCAAACAGCTCTTTTGCCTGCTTGCTTCTTCAATAGACTTTGAAAGGATGTCTGTGGCAAGGAACAAAGAAATTATTTTGACCCTAAATTGCTCTCCAAAGAAATCAAGAAAACGTTTTATTACAGATTGTTTCAATTTTTCCAGCAGGACACAGTCCTTACGCATCGTATTGTTTCTAAAGGCAATGTGTCAAAAACTGAAGCTGAACGGCAAACTCAGAATTCCTTCCCTCCAAATATAACAGAAAAGGAATAACAAAACAATACAAGTATCCTATGCAAGTCATAAGCACATTACTTAGAAAAGTGAGAAATGGAATCCTACCGAAAATGTCTTGGCAAAAAACAGTAAATTCTCCAAAGAAATGAACCCAGCTCCTCTGCATATCAAAATTGCAATGTCAAGTGTCACAAAAGAAACTGACTGAGGGGGAGAACAGGGGAAGAGTTTAAAACTTTAATATGATATAGACATAGGGACGAAAGGAAAAACCTGAAGTCCGTAGATGGATCTCTTCCTTGCCATCCCATTTGATTCCACTGATCAGATAACAAATTTTGAAGCTTCTGACCAGGCTATGTAGCAGACTATAGTACCCGTAAGGCTTCCTGCAATTGTGCAAGTTCGATTAGACGAAGATAAAAAGTCTCAATATTGATTGAATTTTCAGACGCGTTTAAAATTACAAAAAGGAATGCTCTTGTGGATTCACGTTGAATCCATCATTTGCAAACCATATACTGGTAATCACTATAAAGCAACAGGTATATTACAGATTTTATCAAATGACCAGAGAAAATAACACTGATTTGAGAATGCAATACACGCCTGACGGGCTGGTCTGGAAGCATCAAAGTTTATTTTTGTCCTATGTCTCAACCTTCTCAGTCTCTCTTCCTGCCAATTTTAAGAGAAATTTATGTCAAAAAAATAAAATAATCATCTTCAAGATTTTAACCAAAAAGAGAGGAATTTTTAGACAACATAACAGATATTCAACTTTCTCAACATTGAAATGTCAAAAGCTTCCCTTTCGATTGAAGCAAACAAAAGTGAGGCCTTTTCCCATCCACACTGATTTACCACAGGTTGCATCATCTGCACTCAAACCAGCGGACGTACACACTCAATGAAGAATGTCAAGCATTTTACCATAAACATCATCCACAATACATACACAGTACGACAGAGACAAAATGCGAGAACTGTGTGAGTATTTGATTGAAGCAGATTAGTGCAGGAACCAGGTCTCTACGAGATTCCTATGGAATTCACCATTGTCTCCCGCTCTTCTAAGACACAGATGTACGTATTTAATGCAGTATCCATAAACCAAATACATTCTGCTCGAGAAGAATTAAACTCTCTCGTGTAACTGGACAAACATTTTCCTATCTTCTCCTCCCATGTGAGATATTCCAATTTAATTGAAACGTCAGTGTGTTTGGCAGTATTTGTACTTCTATAGATTTCTCAGTTCCAAACTATTCCCACAAAATTATGAAGAAATTCATGCTAGATTATATTTTTGACGTTTTTCATCATTGAAAATATCAATGGACAATTATGTATGGCTATAAACAAATCCAATCAAGGCATAACTTCAAAACATTTCAAAGCCAACACGAATGGAGCATTGACTGGCCTTCCTCTTGTTGAAGGCATGCCAAATTATTGTAACTCACAAGAGAGATATAAGAATCAAGCTCAAAAATTAACAATTCGTAATGTTGAATCAATCTAAATTGCTTAAAAAAATAATAATAAAATAAATATAACAATAAAAACAGTACGAGAAATTTAAACTTCTATTGCAGACGAATGACACCGAAAAGATCTTAGTTAATAAATAAAAAACGTTTTAACTATCTGATCAACCAACCAGACTTAGTGCTTGTTTGGTAAGGATTTTGATAATTGATTTTTTGACCGTTACAGATAAAGTGGGTTCACCTGTGAGAGAAAAATTCAAAAATGACGACTAGAATGGTAAAATAACAGTAAAAAAATTGATTTTAATTGGTTTTTAAGCTATACCAAAACTCAAACCTCAAGCACTTTTGAAACAAAAGCCTCAAATACCGATCATTGCTAGTTTTAATTACACCTTAATTACACAATCAATGTTAAAATTAGACCAAAACAAGAGCATCGTATATCCCCCCACCCCGCCCCCCCCCCCCACCCCCAACACACATAAATACGCATCATCACATTCACAGGGAAAATATACAAATTTGAAGAGCATATCAATAATGAGTACCTGAAGGAACAGAATTAGAGTGGTTGCATTTGAAAAGACGATAAAGGACTGAATGCAAGAATAGCAACACAGCTTCCCCGAATCCAGACTCATTTCAACACCAACAAACGATCTTGATTTCTCTCTTATCCTTTGCCCTAGAGTATCATACTATTCTTGTGTATGCATATAGTGTGTGTGTGAGAGAGAGAGAGAGAGAGGGGTGGGAACAGTTACGTCGTCGTTTCGTGTGTTCACGGTTCTTCCCCCCTCATACTGTGAAGAAGAGAGAAAAGGGTGAAAAAAATACTGTAGAGAAACCGACACCCAGACTCGATCAACACCAAGAAACAGACGATCCGGACCGGCGGAATTTCAGGTGAGTTGCTTGAGACCATTATATGCAATTAATTTAGAAAATAAAGCATGATTATTCTCAGATTTGTTGAAAAATGTATGCAAAAATGTTGGAATATGATGGACATGGTATTTGATAATGATGAGATGGCGGATCTCCGCCGTTAGAGATACAGCCGCCTGCGTCTGCAAAAACGCAGGCGGCAATGGCGTTTTCCGTCTGGATCCAGACGGACCAGCATCTGGATTGGCCTTGACGCTAGGCCGGCTGAAATCCAGACCGCCCCGTCGTCTGGGCCCAGCCGTCTGGAATAACCCTGACGTTGGGCTAGCCCAACCGTCCCTTTAATTTTTTTTTTAAAAATAATTATTTAAAAATAAAATTTATATTTAAATAATTATTTTAATTATTTGAATTGTTTTAATGATTTGAAATAATTATTTTATTTTTTTATTTAAATGTTTAAAGTAAAATATTTTAATTAATATTTAATTTTTTAAATATTACAAAAATAATTATTTAATCTTCTATATTTAAATAATTACTAAAATAATTTAAATAATTATTTTATATGTTTATATTTAAATAATTGATTAATTATTGTATTTTATATTTGAATGATTATTTTAATTTTTAATTTGAAATAATTATTTTTGTAATTGTTTATATCTTTTTAATTACCTTTATTTAATTTTTAATTATTCATTTAAATAATTAATTATTTGAAATAATTTAAATAATTATTTTCACTGTTTATATTTAAATAATTGTTTTAATTATTTAAAATAATTATTGTATATTTTATTTAACTATTATTTTAATTTTTAATTTGAAATAAATATTTTTGTAATTGTTTAAATCTTTTTAATTACTTTTATTTAATATTTAATTATTTAACTAGTTGAATTTTAAAAATAAATTCTTTTAATTGCTTATATTTAAATTATTAATTATTTGAAATAATTTAAATAATTATTATAATTGTTTATATTTAAATTATTGTTTTCATGATTTGAAATAATTATTTTATTTTATATTTAAATGATTATTTTAATTTTTAATTTGAAATAATTATTTTTATAATTGTTTATATCTTTTTAATTACTGTTATTTTATATTTAATTATTCACTTAAATAATTATTTAATTGGTTATATTTAAATCACTATTGTTTAATTGCTTTTATTTAAATAATTAATTACTTCGAATAACTTAAATAATTATTTTAATTGCTTATATTTTAATAATTGTTTTAGTCATTTGAAATAATTACTGTATTTTTTATGTAAATGATTATTTTAATTTTTTAATTTGATATTGTTTTTAAAATATTTAAGTATTACTTTTATTTAATATTTAATTATCTGTTAATGAAATGTTTAAATAAAAAATTAAATTAAGTATTAATAAAATAATTAAATAAATCAATTAAAATTAGTAGGCATAATATTAATATAAACAATTAAATTAAATATTAATAAAATAATTAATGAAATAATATAAATTGAGAAAATTAAAATAAATAATTTAAATAATAATATAAACAATTAAATCATGAAGAAATTAAATAAATAAATTATATAAATAATTAAATACTAAACAAATAATATACATAAACAAGGGAGATTTTTATAAATGGCCTACTACTATTCATTTTTGGTAAAATGTCTATAATACCCTTAATGAAATAATTTATCATATATTGCACAAGATATCCTTAATTTATTGGGATAGTCTTAAATTCCTCTATTCCTCTCATTTCGAGTTTTAATATATAATTTCATCCTTTGATCTAATAAATTAGCATAATCTGTAATATAATTATCATGTAATTTACTAAGATTATCAAATTCCTTCGATAATATATCCATAATCTCTAATTGAGAATAAATATTTTCTATTTTTTCCATTAATCTATCTAACAGATTATCTAATCCTTTTAATTGTATAACCTGGCATTATTCAAATAATTCCTTGCAAACTTTATGAATAATAACATATTTAGACAAGTTTTTTGCAAACATAAACAATAATAATCCCTACAATTCTTTCAAGATATCAGAAGGATTCTTTCTAAATTTAACAAAGACAATAATTTTACCTTACTTTTGATCTAAAATCTGTATTCTTAGAACCGAGTGACCTTCAGGCTCTGAATCTGCAAACTGCTCCCTTAAACGGCCTCTTGCCTCAATGGGAATTCTGCTATTTCAGCTTCTTGCCCTCACTGTATCTTTTCTTAGAATTAAGAATAAAGATCTTAAGTAAAGAAAATTCTCTCTTTGTTAAAGTAAGAAAGAGATTATCTTCTTCAATCTATCAAGAATCTATAGGATAGTAAGTTTTAGAAACTCATATCTTTCTGATATCAA